GTTTATTCGATACCTTAGAGTAGGGGAGAAACATTCTTTCTGAAAAGGATTATGACGTTTTTTTGTCTTCGTGTGCAGCTAGAGTTCTCTATATTTTCGGGGGTTGGCTGTTTGAATTCTGCCTCCTAGTGAGCGCCAACACCAACCCCCAGTAGTGCGATTGACACCCCGACAGAGAGATGGAGACGTTTGAGGAAATATTTATTTATTTATTTTTAGTAAGGTTTTACGGCGCTCGCAATTGCATAAAGTCATATGAGCGCCACGGGGTGGAAGTCAACAGAGATGTCCAAATGGGGACTCAGGCTTACTCTGCTCACCTCTCTAGCCTCAACAGCACAGTCTGCTTCAACTGTCAAGGCACCCCGGAAATAGCAGTTCACAAAAGTGTGACAAACATACGAAAGAAGCAGAGGGACAAATAACGATAGTAAGGATGAAGAAAAAAATAAAGCAGCAATTTCCCCTGTGTTGTTTCCGCACAGTATGAGCATGACATTGATAAATCAGCCAATACACAATTCTGCAGTAACTGTGCTGACGAACATGATAATATCCCCCCTTTGGGAAGAGGAAACATTTGTCCTCTGTTGGCTTCGTCCTGTCCAAGAGTACATGTTGTTTTAGTAGAGGTTTTACGGCGCTCGCAACTGCATAAGGACATATGAGGGCCAGAAGATTAGAGGTGTTACAAGAGAGTAAGAAATATAAAAAAAGAAAGAGGGGGATATAAGGACGATAGATGTTTGACAGGAAAGAAGAAACAAACCACCCGGCAACCACCACGGACGCCAGTATGGAACTTGGCCGACCAGCCCCAATGAAAGCGATATAATAACGAAGACAAGCAGAGAAATCATGTATGCTCATTTGTTTGAGCACTTTTAGTTTTAGTAAGTGTATTGCGGCACTTGCAACACAATAAGGTTATACAAGAACCGAAGATTAGAGGTGTTACAATACAAGAGAGTAACAAACACAAAAAAAAGAAAGAGGGGAGATAGAGACGGTAGATGTTTCATAAGAAAGAAGAAGCAAACCACACCAGAGCACCTGCCAACCACCCACTTGTTTGAGTACAGAGAGGTGCATCGACAACATAGCAGTCATTTAGTACACGGAAAAGGTAAGACAGACAGGCAGAAACACAAAGG